ACCAAAATCATCATCATCAGCATCAGCAGCATCATCATCATCACCATCATCAGTATCAACAGCCGCATCAGCATCGTCAACATCCGCATCATCACCACTATCATCATCAGCATCATCAGCAGCATTATAGTAATCATCAGCAACAGCATTAGCATCAGCATCAGCATCGTCATCATCATCATCAGCATCGTCAGCATCATCATCAGCATCATCATCATCATCATCACCATCATTTTCATCCTCATCAGCATCGTCATCATCATCAGCATCATCACCATCATTGGCATCATCATCACCCTCGTCATCATCATGATATCATCATCATCATCAGCATCATCATAATCATCATCATCCTCATCATTATCATCATCATCATCATCATCATCATCATCATCATCATCATCATCATCATCATCATCATCATCGTCATCCTTCAATGCTGCTGTTACTCCTCCTTGTCCTCCTCCTCCCACTCATTCGATACTCCTCCTCATCCTCCTCCGCCTCCTCCTCCACTTGCTCCTCCATTATTCCTTTTCTTCATGAGAAACTCTTCCCTGCCGCGCCCCGGGGCCAGTCGGAAGAGCGGGCGGGGCGTTTCGCTTGAGACTCCCTTACCATATGTAATCCTGAAGCTTGACAAACGGCAATAGTTTCATAAATGGAGGGTGGGTCGCTTCCAAAATGTGGCTCGCGCCTTAGCGCCACGCATTTTTGACGTCTGAACAATGTGCAAAAGTTTCACATATTGAGGGCGGGTCGTTTTCACAAGATGGCTCTTGCCCAAGCGCCGCGCACATTCGCTTTGCAAAATCGCAAGAGCTTCACGGATTGACGGCGGTTCGTTTTCAAAATGTGGCTCTCGCTTTAGCGCCGCGCACACTCGTTTTTCCGCTGTGGACAAACCTCCCTTTAGTAAACCTCCCCTTAGTGAAAACGGCCTGGGACCGAAACCGACGGACCTCTACCCGCAAAAATGACGGCCGCGACGCCCTCTCGCAAACCGAAAGCGGCCAATTCCTTAATCGACGTGTCAGGGTAGGAGGTCTATCAACCTCCGAGTTTAAAACATTTGCAGGAGCTTCACGGATTGAGGGCGGGTGGTTTGCAAAATGTGGCTCTCGCCTTAGCGCCGCGCACACTTATCTTACAAAGTTGAAAGAGCTTCACGGATTGAAGGCGGCTAGTTTTCAAAATTTGGCTCTCGCCTTAGCGCCGCGCATACTCGTCTAAAAAAATTGGAAAACTTCATGGTTGAGGCGTTTCCTTTTCAATATGTAGCTCTCGCCTTAGCGCCGCGCAAATCCTTTGTAAAAATGTGCAAGCGTGTCACAGATGGCCATGGTTCACGTACCAGAAATGGCGCTTGGCATGGATTTAGGATTATCCGAGCACGAGGGTTACATGGATTCGTGGTGTTGAAATTCCAGGAATGATGTTCTGGCACAGAGGGAGCTTGGAGGGAGGTTTTATCCCAACATCATTGGTGAGTCTTGAGTTTACACTGGTCCTCTTCCTCCTCGTCCTCATCCTCTTCTTCTTCCGCCTCCTCCTGCTCCTCAACATCAGCATCATCATCAGCAGCAGCATCATAACCATCACCAGCAGTCACCATCATCTCCTCCTCATCATTATCACGATCCTCCTTATCACCATCATCAGCATCATCATCCTTATCATAGCCATCATCATCATCATCATCGTCATCATCATCATCAGCATCATCATCGGCATCATCATTACCATCATCGTCATCATCATCATCATCAACATCCCTCGCCGGGCGCCGCAACGACAGCCTCCCCTGAAATGAAGCCAGGATGAAAACAGAATCGGAGCGAGATGAGCCGGAATTCTCTGAGAGATGGCTTGCTGTAAAAAAGTCCTGAGAGATGACTTGCTGTAAAAAAGTTCGAGCGCCGCGCCCGCCGCCAGATTGCTCCAGATCTTTCCGGAACGATTTATGTTTCGTCCTAGCCCTTTCCGCAGGCCTCCCAAATGTCGCCAGAGCAGGCCGGATCGTACAGCATCGCCGCTGCATCGCCGATGCACCGGCGACAGCGGGACCGAGAAAATCGGACTCCGGATCGCGCCACATCGCCGATGCATCAGCGATGCGGCGCAATCCTCCGAACCCATCTGCCCGAAGTTCTGACAAGACATCGCTTCTGCTCGAGGACCTGCTTTCTGCACCACTGCTTGTGCAGATGGCTTCCGTCGAACGAGCCAAAGGAGCCTAGGATTCTGCACGAGGGCTCCAAGGACCGAACGGCAAGCAGATGAAAGGAAAATGTCATTCTGGGGGCGCAGAAGAAGCCGAGGAGAGCGGAGACTATGGCGTCATGTGTGCATCCCGCATGGTCCAAAATGAAAGGAAAATCCGCCACCTTGCCCCCTGGCACGTTGTGGCGTGCTAGAATGCCGAGTGCTGTCCGGCAGGGTTTCTGTAATCTTCTGAAGGCCCCCCCCCCCCTCCTGGGTCGCGTAGAGTTGCGTGCAACGCCCCCTCTTCCAGAGGCTCTGTTGGCGCCCAGATACGTTCCTGGCGCTCTCCAACGTGTCCAAGATGCCCAGAATGGCTTCCAAGACAGACCTCCACAGCCGCCAAGAGGCCCAAGATGCCTCCAAGACGACCGAAGATGGCTCCCAAATGGCCCAAGATGGCCTCGGGATGGCACCAGATGCCTCTAAGACGGGCCAAGAGTACTCCAAGAGAGCCTCCAGCAAGGACCGAAGAGGCCAAAATCGCCGATTCCCATTACGTGTTTCAATGTTGTCGCATCCTCGCCTTTTCAAGCTCCCGTCGGCCTAAGACGGCCCAAGAGGCCTCCAAGATGGCCCCACGACGGCCCAAGGGAGCCTCCAGACAGCCGAAGAGGTCTCCAAGACGGCCATCAGGCAGCTTAAGACGGCCCCTGGATAGCCCACGACGCTCTCCTGAGGGCTTCAAGTTGGCCCTACAGGCCTGCAGGAGGGACCCAAGACGGCCTCAGAGGACAAGAGGACACCTGGACGGCCCAAGACGGCCAACCCAAAGAAACTCCCAAGACGGTCACGGAGGCCCCAAGAGAGCTCAAGACAGCCCAAGAGAGCCTCAAGACGGCCGAGGAGGGTCCCAAGGGAATCCCAAGACGGCATCTCAAGGCAAGGTGGCGGGACTTGCCGCAGGCAGCTTGATAATCCTCAACAATCGCCATAATCGAAGGGTTCGCTCGCCAGCGCCTCGCAACCATCGTGAGAATTCCGCGCCCCCCGCCCCCCCGTAGGAGCAACCACTCCCCGTCGCGATGACTACACACTCTGATCGTGGCGACCCACCCGCTTTGGCTCAACCATCGCCCCTCCTCGCATTGAGGTCGCTCATCTCCTCGGCGAGCAGCTCGACAGTCTCGGCGGCGTCGAGCCTGGAAAAGCAGGGGGTGCTCTGGACCCAGCTGCGGAGACCAGGTGACCGCCCGACTGCGAAGGCGATCTGCAGGAGTCTGCCCGAAAGCAAACACACTCGACAGACCCTGGCGGAACTCCACATTCACCCTTCCCCTCCTCCTCCTCAGCATCATGCTCGCATTGCCCGTCCGCACCTACACTCTCCTCCCACCAGTCCTGATCCACCTGCTCCTCCGCGTCTTTGTTCCTAGGCTGCGTGGACCTCCTCCTAATCCTTCCCGTTCCCTTCACCATGCGACTAGTTATCCCCCTCATCCTCCCCATGCCCAAACCCCAGGGCTACCCGCTGCAGTAAAGCATGTGGTCGGACATAGCTGACCAGGTCCCCCAACCCCAGCGACAATGCCAGCCCTGTTGTTTTGAACACTTCCAGGCTCTCGATGACACAGGTTCACACTCCCCAGAAACAACCAAACAACTCTAAGAGAGCAAAGGTCAAGCCCGAGCGGGGGTAATGATGTGGGGGCGAAAGCGCACGAAAGAGCAGTCCCCCCGCACCACAACTGTAGAGAAGGTCGTATTCAACATCGGTCGTAACACCCGAATGTATCCAACGCAGTGTCCACCACCGTACCGTCAGCGTTGAAACGAATGTTTTCAACGTCCATGCAAGTCATGAGTGTTCAACGCTGTGTTTGCGGCCAGGCACTGCTTCCTTAGCGTGTCGCGGCGGCGGTTCTGGCGACACGTTATGCCTTGCAAGCGGATCGAATGTCGTTCCGCTCCGCGGGTCGGGAGACTTGAAAGAAGCTCGGGACTTTCACTCTGGGGAACCCAGAAAAATAGCGCGTCGCGCCGAAGCGTGGGCCAGGACCGGCGGCGCGACACACTAAGCCAAAGTTCCTGACCGTGTATTGTGGATATCGTTGGGGACCAATTATGGATATGCCTATGACCCCAACTCACGGAATATGGATATCGCATCATGGAAAACGTGTTTTATGGATACCGTGATATGGATATCCACGATCTATTCTGTATATACTTATGACCCCCAATTCACGGGATGTCTGGGCGCTCCTGGACCCCCCCTGGCATCGTCGCACGACTTCTCTGGCCAGGCATCGGGAGCGCGGCTGGGAGTTCCACTCTCGGCAAGAGGGCGAGGGAGGCGGCCGCGGGAGGGGGGAACCGGCGTGGGGGACACTCACGTAGCAGGGTTGCGGCGAGCGCGCAGGGGCGGCCAGGCTGGAGGGCAGTCCCTGGCAGCCGTCGCGGGGCGGCATCACGATGCCCAAGGGTGGGCCAGCAGCCACAGTGCGGGCGACGTCAAGCAAGGGGGGGGGGGAGAGCACCGGGCGGCCGGAGAACCGGGACGCAAGGCGGGGGGAGGCAGAGGCGCGAGCTAGGGCCAGCGGCGGGCTGGGGGCGCAGTGCGTCCGGCGTGGCAGCAGCCGGGAGAGCGGCCCCAGGCAGGCGGAGAGCAGCGGGCGGCCAGTGGCGGGGCCACCGGGCGGCCTGCAGCAAGCCGCGGGGGCACGGTGCTGGTGCAGGGGCTACCAATGGAGAGACGAACGCCATCCCGAAGCCGGCGCACGGCATCACAGCTTGGGAGTGGGCGGTCCCCAGTGCAAGTGACGCACGGGCGGGGTTCCCCCGAGGGGAAGGGGGGGGACGGGCCCGTCGGGGGCCGTCCGAAGGGGCGCCGAGTTAGGCGGCCACCAGGGGGGCAGGGGGAGATGGTGGCACCCCCCACCCCCGAAGAAGCCGTGCCGCGCGCCAGGTAGCACGGGCAGGGTCTGGGGCGGGGAGGCAAAAGCGGGAGATGAGCCGCAACGGCGGTGACCCCCAAGTGGGGCAGCACAAGCTGCAGACAGAGACGAGACCCCCTGTAAAGCGCTGGGGCTGCGGGAGCAAGCACCAGCAGGGACGGCCCAGCGCTCGGCTCGCGAGGCGAGGGGCGAGGGGCAGAGTGCGGCGACTGCCGACGAGGGGCAACGCGATGCGATGCGACCACCGTTGCGGACAGCGTCCGGGCCTAGAGCAGACCAGGTGGGTGAGGCCATGGCCTCTAGAATCTGAGGTGCCTGGATACATGCAATGCGAGACATAGAACAAGTTAGGAGGAGAGGGGGAGGAGGAGGAAAAGAAAGTCCTTGGTGTCGGTGTCGACGCGAGTTGGGCGAGATGTCTCGACGTTCGCTGAGTTGTTACGTCATTGGTCTGGGTCACGGGTGCTGGTCGACGTGAGGTCGGTGAAGTGGTGCTCGAGCGCTGTCCATGCTTCGGTGTCATGGGCTGTTTGCGTCCATGTGATGTGGTTCGGTTGTCCTTTCGAATGGGCTTGCGTGGGCGGTCGGTGGAGGTCTGGTCTGCGTTGACGTAAGAAGTAAGTGGCGGCTTCGTCGTCCCAACGCTTGTTTTGACCACCGTGTTGCCTGTCCCCGCTGGCGCGGGCTGAGGACTGGGTGCCAGCGCAGCACTCGCCAAGTCCACCTCGTCCGGTCGTGGTTTGCGACTCGCGAAGCCATGCGCCATACTTTCCGTTTGTGCGCCGTCTCCCACTTGTCAATGTGGTGGGATTTCATGAGGTGCGCTGCGCGTCGCGTCGCTCGCTGGATGTAGTCGACCCATGGTTCCATTTCGTCTGAGGTGGTGCTGTCTTCGCCGTCTTCGCTGTGCTTGTCAGGCGTGCCAGGTGCATCACACTGTGATGGGTTGCTGTCTGCGTCGTCGCTAGTGCTGTTGGTGCGGTCTTTGTGGTCTTGTGCTTCGTTGTTCGCGCCGTCGAAATTAGGTCCCTGGCCGCTGTGAGGGCCGGCTTCTTTCGTTGTGCGTCTCCGTGGCGTGCATCATGCGAAACATGCGTCGTTGTGTCCGTCGTAGATGCTGCCGTAGAGGCTCCGTGAGGGTCCACGTCTCTGCTCCGTATGACGCTGTTGGTGCTACAATGCTGTTAAAAAGTCGGAGTCGGTGAGCCAGTGGGTAGTGTTTGATGGTCAACTCCTGCTTGCGAGACGTGAATGATGCCCATGCAGCTCGCGTGCGGTGGTGGATTTCCGTTTCCATCGGTTCGTGGAAGCTGATCAAGTGGCCGAGGTATTTGATACTGCCGAGGAAGGGCAGAGCCAGGGGGCGGGCGGGAGATGGCACCCGGCCATGGGGCACGAGCATGCCAGAGGCGGCACGCCACCTGGGAAGATGGCGAACCGCAGGGCGGGGAGCTGCAGGGACCAAGGGCCGAGCAGCAAACGGGGGGGGCCGGCCTGGCACCACCGCGCAGTGGGTTGGATGGTGCGCAGGGCCCGGACAGCGGTCGCGCCTATGAGAGGGGCGCGGCGGCGAAAGCACCAAGCTGGTGCGCAGACAGGTCGACTGTGGGGAAGCACCTAGCTGGTGCGCAGACTCGTGGAAAAGCAAGGGGCGGTGTCCTCCTGGGTCCAGAGGTGCACCGCGACCGCTGGCGGCGGAACCAGGCAACACGGGAAGCAACTAACCGGTGCGCAGACTGGCGGAAGAAAGGTGCGGGAGCCTCCCGGGTTGGAAGCCACACCGCGGTCATCAACGTAGCCAGGAAGACGGGAGAACCTAACTGGCGCAGACTGGTGGAAAATGCACGCAGGTCACCTCGGTTGTGCGACCACGCACCGTCGTGGGTTCCGAGGCGACGAGAATGCCCGTAGGGCGTCTCGCTGTCTACCGGGCCTCCCAAGATTTAGAGCCCCCGCAGTCGAGACTGGTCTCCTGCAGGCCAGGTCGCCTCGCTGTGCCGCTTGCCTCCATGCCCTTTGCCAGCTGTCTGGCCTTGGCGGCTTTGCTGCTGCCACTGGACTGTGTCCTTGTCAACGTCCAGTCGCCGATTGCTGCAGAGGCGGCGGATGTCGTAGTCGACGCTGGCCAGCTCAGCCACCGGCTGGAGGGCGAACGCCTCGAGCGCGAGGTGCATACGGCGGCAGGCGCGACGTGGCACCAATGCTGGTGGGCTTGTTTTCCACAATAACCACCACAAGTAGGAGGGGGAGGGGGTCCTCCTCCTCCTCCTCCTCCGCCTCCTCCTCCTCCTCCTCCTCCTCCTCCTCCTCTTCTTCCTCATTCTCCTCATCCTCCACCTCC